TGCGAACGAGCGAGCGAGAGAGAGAGAGAGAGAGAGAGGGTGTTTTGTGCTTTGAAGTGATGGCTTCTATGTTCTCATACTGATTGCAAAATGCATATACTTGGTATGACAAAAGCGTCTGTCCTGTATTGAAGAGGAGGTAAAAGCAAGTAGATTGTAAGTCAAAGGCGAGAGGGATATAAACATATATATATATAGACTGAGAGTGGAAGAGGCAGAGGGAGAGGGAGAGCGAGAGCGAGAGGGAGAGGGAGAGAGAGAGAGGGAGAGGCAGAGAGAGAGAGAGAGAGAGAGAGAGAGAGAGAGAGAGAGAGAGAGAGAGAGAGAGAGAGAGAGAGAGAGAGAGAGAGAGAGAGAGAGAGAGAGCGGCAGAGGCAGACGGAGAGGGAGAGGGAGAGGGAGAGGGAGAGGCAGAGGGAAAAAGGGTGAGGGTGAGGGGGAGGGAGAGGCAGAGGCAGAGAGGGAGAGGCAGAGGGAGAAAGAGAGAGGCAGAGGCAGAGGCAGAGAGGGAGAGGGAGAGGCAGAGGCTGAGGCAGAGGGAAAGAGGGTGAGGGGGAGGGAGAGGGAGAGGGAGAGGCAGATGCAGAGGGAAAGAGGGTGAGGGGGAGGGAGAGGGAGAGGGAGAGGGAGAGGCAGAGGGAAAGAGGGTGAGGGGGAGGGAGAGGGAGAGGGAGAGGGAGAGGCAGAGGCAGAGAGGGAGAGGCAGAGGCAGAGGGAGAGAGAGAGAGACAGACAGACAGAGACAGAGAGAAAGACTGCAAGACAACAAGAGAGAAACAGAAATGGAATGTGTTTAATAGCAATATTCAACCCAATTTGAACAGTATGACTGCTGACCGAAACTCAGAATTAAACGAAACTCAGAATTAAATACATTTCTCCCCGCATTTCCTAACTTTATTCGAGGATTCAAAAAGACGATATTTCAACCTGGCAGATAATGAATGCGTAATTTGATTAGGGTCATTATTGCGATAATAATTATAACTATGGGCAGGAGAACAACATTAATTAACAGTAAGAATTCATCAAACAAAGGAAATGAAAGTGAAAGTGAAACAGAAATCGTGAATAGCGTATAACAAATAAATAAATGTGACTGACAACGTGATAATATGACTGCGTTATTTTCATGATCAATATCGTCAAAAAGATCATGTCATTATTATTGTCATTAACACAGCATCTAAAGTAGGTATTAAAATAAGGATGATAACAATGATAATGATGATATTAATGTTGACATTAAAAATAACAACAACACAATAACATCATCATCATCATCATTATCACCATCATTATAATCATCATAATCATTATCATAAGAATAATGATAATAATTATGACAGCAATCAGAATGACAACAACAGGAATGACACAAATAATTTTAATAATGACAGAAAAAAACAACAAAGCATATGGCTTTTTATTCCATAGTACCAACATTCTGTAATACTGATAAAAATGATAATAATAATAGACATGATAACACCAACGCTAATAACAACAACAAAACAACACCAATAATAATAACAAAACAACACCAACAGTAATAACAAAACAACAACAATGATAATAACAAACCAACAACAATAATAATAACAATAAAAAAATAATAATGATAGTACTATTACCACTACAGCGAATCATCACCATAGCATTATAAATAACAGTAATAATAAAATCTTGGAACAGCACTAAGCCGACATCAACACCAACCGTTTTACATAACAGTCATCACCATCATCATCATCACCATCATAAAAAATAAAAAATAAAAGACATCATCACCGGAAAAAAATAAATTCACTCTGATAAGTAAACAAATAAAAACAAAAACACAAAAGGGAAATGAGGACATGAGTATACAAAGACAGTCAACCGCCAAGCAAAACAAACACCACATACAAATATGAATAAAAAGTAAAACAAACAAACAAAGGAGAAAAAAAACCCACCAAACAAGACCCAAAACATATATCAAAACAACAAACAAACATAGAGGACTCCCGGCAAACAAAATAAAAACAAAAAAAGTAAGAAAACACCAACAAACACAAACTAAAAACAAAACACTAACATAAACACTCACACAAGCAAACAAACCAATCAATAAAAAACACCATCAAAGAAAACCTCAACCACTCAGACAAAAACAATAACTCGCAAAAAAGGAGCAAACACCCCGAAACTAACCAGACAAAAACAACATTCTACATCTAGATTTACACAAAAAAGAAAGAAGGACCCACCCCTCATACTCTCAGCACTGTAGACGTCAGCCGCCAGCAGGACCGTTTACACTCTACAGTCTACGCCAATAATCTACGTCTACGGTATACGTCAACAATCAACGCCAACGATCTACATCTACGGTATACGTCAACAATCTACGCCAACGATCTAAACCAACACTCTATGTCTACAAATCCCCTCTCCCCCCTCCCTTCCCCTCCCTCCCTCCCCCTCCCTTCCCCCTCCCTCCTTCCCCCTCCATACTCACAGCACTGTAGACGTCGGCCGCCAGCAGCACGTCGAAGGGCATGGCGGCGACGAGGTCCAACACGAACCAGCCCTTGACGTAGTGGGTCGCGATCATGCAGGGACTCAGCACCACCTCGCCCTTCTTGTTGACGAAGGTGGTGCGGAAGTTGAGGATGATGTCTGCAAAAGAGGGGGGGGAGGAGTAAAATGGGTGAATATAATGGGTGAGTAAAGGGAGTGAGTAAAATGGGTGAGAATAATGGGGTGAGTAAAATGGGTGAGTATTGAGTATAGGGGTGAGTAAGGGGTGCGGAAGTTGAGGATGATGTCTGCATGGGGGGTGAGTAAAATGGGGTGAATATAATGGGTGAGTATTGAGTATAAGGGTAAGTAAGGGTTGAGGATGATGCCTGCAAAAGGGGTGAGTAAAATGGGTGAGTACTGAGTATAAGGGTGAGTATTAAGTATAAGGGTGAGTGAGGGGCGCAGAAGTTGAGGATGATGCCTACAAAGTGGGTGGGTGTAATGGGTGAGTATTAGTATAAGGGGTGGGTGTACTCAATACTCATGGGTGAATATTGAGTATAATGGATGAGTATTAGTATAAGGGGTGGGTGTACTCAATACTCATGGGTGAATATTGAGTATAATGGGTGAGGTGAATATTTTTTTGTTTCTGAGAATGGTATGCAAGGTACTTATAACCAGGTAGCTCCACTTCTAAAAAATTAAATTGACTTTTTTTCCCAAGCGTATTCTAAGGGCTATTAATGGTAAAGATATTTTGGTTATCATAAATAAAAAAGGTGAATTTTCTTTTTACCTCTTGGTAATTATAATACTGTCGATTAAATTAAACAAATAATAATGTATCTAGTTATATCTGGCATCTCACGGCGCACTGTCACTGGCTAGACGTTATGACGTCATTAGCTCCGCCCCCTTTTTTTTTTGACCCCACAATTTTTATGCGAAATTTTGTGGCAAGTATTATTTCAGTGCATTTCTTTGAAAACTGATCCAGTAATAACAATGGTAAAATAATCATCGTGGAAAAAAAAAAAACAAGAAAAAAAATACACACCAAAATAAAATATCTAATGTAAAAATATTTGCAAAGAATAAAGGTGACGAGGTGGGTGCTTAGCTCGTGAGTTGCCGACTAGGATTTTCAAGGTGGAGTGGGGTCTATGTATAGATACTTTGGCGGTACGGAAGCTTAGGATAAGTAACTGGATGAGTGAATACTGCGGAAGGGGATGTTGAAATGGGTGAGTGCGTATCTTATTGACGAAATGGACTATAATTGTATGATAATCTCTCTTTCTAGTGCTCTCTCTCGCTCTCTCTCTCTCACTCTCTCTCTCTCTCTCTCTCTCTCTCGCTTTCTATCTCTCTCTATATATTTTTCTCTCTCTATTCCTCTCTCACTGTCTGCCTGTCTGTCTGTGTGTCCATCTCTTTCAATATCTCTCCTTTTTTTCTCTCTCTACCCATTCTTCGTTCTCTTTCAATACCTATCTATCTTTACATACCTCCTCTCCCTCCTTCTCATACCCCCCCATCTATCACGTCATTCTCTCTCTCTCTCTCTCTCTCTCTCTCTCTCTCTCTCTCTCTCTCTCTCTCTCTCTCTCTCTCTCTCTCTCTCTCTCTCTCTCTCACACACTTTCACTCTCTCTCTCACACTTTCACTCTCTCTCTCTGTCCTCACAAATTCTGTATACTTAAAGACAAGTCTAATCAGCCAGTCAAATGTAACTTCCTCTCGAATTCTCAAAAATCCTGAGTTCTGATTGGCTGAGATTCAACATGCGTTTCGAGAGGCTGTTGACCAGGATGTCCTCTCATCCGGTACTTTTTTTTTTTTTTTAAAGGTGGATGGTGTCTGCGTGTAATGTGTACATTCGTCTGCTCTCTTCCTCTTTTCTTTTCTTCTCTTTTTGGTTCATTTCTCTCAGTGTCGAAGATTTTCTAGTTTGTGCTGTCTGTCCTTCATATCTTCTTGTCTGTCTGCTCGTCTGCCTTTTCTCATCTCATCTCTCTCTCTCTCTCTCTCTCTCCTTCTCTCTCTCTCTCTCTCTCTCTCCTCTCTCTCTCTTTCTGTCTCTCTCTCTCATTTCTCTCTCTCTCCCTCTCTCTCTCTCTCTCACTCCCTCTCCCTCTCTTTATCTCACTCTCACACTCACTCTCTCTCTTCCCCTCCTTCCTCCTCCCTTCCTCCCTCCCCCATCCCCCTTTGCCCCTCCCCACCCCACCCCCCAAAACTCACCGACGAAGAACAACGCCTCCACCACCACGTCAGGCACGATCGTCGGCTTGTCCTGCTGGGTCTCGCTGACGAGGAAAGCCGCGTTGTAGGGGACGGTGACGGCGACGTAGAAGGTGGCCAGCAGGATGACCAGGTCCCAGCAGGTCTTGAGCATCCCGTAGTGTGTCAGGATGAAGCGCGACTTCTGGATGCTGGCCGTCTTGTACTCCGGCAGCGGGCCCGCGGAGTGCGGTTGCAGGAGGGTCTGTGTAGGAGGGGGAGGGGAGGGGAGGGAGGGAGGGAGGAGGGGAAGGGAGGGAGGGAGGGGAAGAGAGGAGGAAGGGGAAGGGAGGGAGGGGGAAAGTGGGGAAAGAGATGGGGGAAGGGATGGAGGGAGGGAGGGATGGGGGGGAGGGGAGAGGAGGGGAAAGGGGAGGGGGAAGGGAGTGGGAGTGGAAGGGAAGGGGAGGAGATGGAGGGAGGGAAGTGGAGAAGGGGAAGGAGGTGGGAGAGGGAGGAAGGGAAGGGGAGGAAGGAGGGGTTAGGGTAGGGAGGAGAAGAGAGAAGAGGGGGGCGGGTGAAAGAAAAAGAAATAAAGGAGATAGAAGGAATGGGTAGGACAAAGGTAGAAAGAGAGAAAGAAAAAAGAAGAAGAGAGGAGAGAAAAAAAGAATTACAATTAGATGAAATCTGGTCTTCATGCAACATCCTGTATCTCGTAAAAAAAAAAAAACTCATTAGTATCCTTTTTTCAGCTTTTTATTTCAAATACAGCTGGGGAAAAAATGGCGAACGCACCTCAAAAAAAATCAGTCACTAATTGAACGCCGCTGCATTCTTATATCATTGCTCAATCCGATACCAGTCCCACAACTTGCAACAAATGAATCCATATTTGCACACACATATATATATTTGGGAGGATAACGGACGCCGGTTATTGCAAGCATTGTGCAAGAATAAAATCGTTATCCACATTCTTTACTTCTCGTACACACAAACCTTAACCTCTCAAAGAAACAGATGTGAACAAAGACAAACAATGATTATCTTTAAAAACCTCTCTCTTACATTCGTAATTTTCTTTTGCTCAGATTACCCTTGAGACGAGCCCATTCACACGATAGATATAAATATAAATATATATATACATACACATATGCATTTACACACACAAACACACACACACACAGAAAAAACAGAGACAGAGACACAAAGAGTGAGAGAGAGAGAGAGAGAGAGAGAGAGAGAGAGAGAGAGAGAGAGAAAGAGAGAGAGAGAGAGAGTGAGAGAGAGAGAGTGAGAGAAAGAGAGAGAGAGAGAGAGACTGCGAGAGAGAGAGACTGCGAAAGAGAGACTGCGAGAGAGAGAGACTGCGAGAGAGAGAGACTGCGAAAGAGAGAGAGAGACTGCGAAAGAAAGTGAGAGACTGCGAAAGAGAGAGAGAGAGAGAGAGAGAGAGAGAGAGAGAGAGAGAGAGAGAGAGAGAGAGAGAGAGAGAGAGAGAGAGAGAGAGAGAGAGAGAGAGAGAGGAGATAGCCTGCTATACAAGGGATATTGGTCTCGTCCTTCGGGAGTCCCACGCGTAATTCCAGAATCGAGTGCGCTCCGTTTCCAGTTCCTCCTCGTGAGCAATAAACGCGAGAAGGAAAGGAAATTATATGCTTTTTGAAGAACGGAGAGAGAATGGGATAAAGGAAGGTGGAGGAGAAGGGAAAGAGGAGGAGGAGAGGATGTAGAGGAAGGGAGAGAAAGGGATGGAGAAGAGGGGAGGGAGAGAGGGAGGAGGAGAAGATGGAGAGGAAGGGAGAGAAGGGAATAGAGGAAGGTGGAGGAGAAGGGAAAGAGGAGGGGGAGAGGATGGAGAGGAAGGGGGAGAAAGGGATGGAGGAGGGGGGAGGGAGAGAGGGAGGAGGATAGGAAAGGATGGAGAGGAAGGGAGAAAAAGGGATGGAGGAGGGGGGAAAGGAGAGAAAGAGATGGAGGACGGTGGAAGGGGGAGAGAGAGAGGACGAGAGGATGAGGAGGAAGGGGAAGGAGAAAGGCAGAATGATGGAGGGGGGGAGATGGAGAAGGGAAGGAAAGCGAAGGGGAAAAAGGGTAGAAGGAGAGGGGAGATAGAGGAGGGAGTGTAGGGGAAGGAAGTGAAGGAGGAGGAGAAAGATGGAAGGTAGAGAGGGAGGAGGACAGTAAAAGAGGGGAGAGAGGAGAGGAGGAATAATGAGATGATGGAGAGGAGAGGAAAGAAGGGGAAGGAGAGGGTGGAAGGGGAAGAGAGTAGGAAGGAGATGATAGAGAGGAAGGAGAGAGCAAGAACGCGAGAGAGAGAGAGAGAGAGAGAGAGAGAGAGAGAGAGAGAGAGAGAGAGAGAGAGAGAGAGAGAGAGAGAAAGAGAGAGAGAGAGAGAGAGAGAGAGAGAGAGAGAGAGAGAGAGAGAGAGAGAGAGAGAGAGAGAGAGAGAGAGAGAGAGAGAGAGAGAGAGAGAGAGGAAACGAAATATAGAGAGAAACCGAGAGTGGGAAGCACTGATTCCGGTCACTTATTTTCTTTGAATACACGAGTACCCTGTGACCTTTTCGACGCTTGTGATCGTTTTTTTCAGTCTCCCTTGATTTTCCCGTTTTCTATGGAGTGAAAACGGGAGATAGCTTCCCCTTCCCCTTTCTGCCAACACGGATATTGGAAAAAAAATCTTCCCTCAATTTAATTAATTCTTCTTTCATTCTATCTTATTTCATGTCATTTCATCTGCTGTTTGTTCCAGT